ACGCTAAAAATATCCCTTAAATATACCTTCGACTCTGTATTAAACTATGTATAAAATAAGCGTAAGCGTGAAAATGGTATAAACGTAGCGTGCGCAGAGAATACACGCGGTATATTTGTAGCGTAGTTTTTTTTTATTGAGGTGTTCTATATTTCCTTGTACAAAAACCGGATATACTAGAAGATGAACAACTCATACGGAACAGAAATCGTTCGGTATATAAATAGATGAATCGAATACAATCTCAATTCTAAGCAGTGTTGGGCTATTTCATGTTTAAATTATAAAGCCTTGAAGTGTGTTTCACTTTTGTAAAAACTTTGACAAGATTCGGAGTCTATTTCGGAGTACCAATAGGTTAAACCATGTATTATTTTTTGAAAAGTAGAGTAATTTTTTTTCTTTTGTTTCATCTCTTGATAAAATAAAAATAAAAATAAAAACAATTCAAAAATTTATTTATATACTTATAATATATTTATAGACTTATATGTGTCTTTATATTTTTCCCTCAGATCCGATATCTACTTGAATAATCATGAGGAACAGTCGGACTATTTCACTCTTTCTACGAAACAACTTCTATAAATCCGCAGCGATGTTGACTTTAATTTTGATTTTCATCTATTTCACATGGTAAAGAAACAACTTATTATCCTAATGCTAAAAAGTCAGAGAAGCTCGGTAAACTTCGATGATTGAATATAATTTTTACAGGAATACCACGAGATCTGATGCAGAAAATTACGATTGGTCCAAATTGGAGAATTATAAACTGATCTTCGCGCATAATGTTCCGGAATGGCTTCAGATCCAAGATGGTATCGATGAATTTAACGATTCAAAGTGTCCATATAACAAATGCAGATGGACAACAAGAAAAGCGGAAAAAGAGATTGCTGATTTGGTTCTATTCATTCTCAAATATGTGCCAGCAGAGAATCCAAGGCCACCCGGTCAAATATATGCACTGTATTTATTTGAAAGTCCGCCGCATACGAGCCCGGTTTCAGATGCAAGTATGTGTGATTACATTCAAATTCCTTGTTTACTTACTGATCTAATGCTTATCGAAAATTTCAAAACTAGGCGCCATCAATTGGACCATAACGTACAGGTAGATCCATTTAAAACTCATGAAAATACATTTCCTGTAGATGCTTTCTTTAATATCCATATTCTTATTAAAGATCCGATAGTACGATTCCGGCACCTTATCGCAAATGGATTCCGTTCAACCCAGAAATCAAACAACAAACACAGAATATCAACTATGCCGAGAACAAAACAAAGCAAGTAGCTTGGTTTGTCTCCAACTGCAACGATAAAAATGGTCGATTAAAATATGCTCGAGAGCTACAGAAGCATATTCAGGTATGTGAATGGGGTAACTCTTCAGACTTCAGAAATTATTGTCACGAAAAAGTCATGATTATAATCACAACAAATGTGAATTGAATATTTCCAAAAGGTCGATATCTATGGCAAATGCGGATCGTTGAGCTGCCCACGTGACAACTTGAAGAAATGCTACGATATGCTCGACCGTGATTACAAGTTTTATTTAGCGTTCGAAAACTCAAATTGTAAAGACTATATCACTGAAAAACTTTTTGATCATGCACTGGGAAGGAACATTTTACCGGTTGTGATGGGCGCCTCCCAAGATGAATACACTAAATACGCTCCACAACGATCCTTTATTCATGTCGATGAGTTCGAAACACCAGCAGAACTAGCACAGTATTTAAAAGTTTTAGACACAAATGACGATCTCTACAATTCATATTTCCAATGGAAGGGAAGTGGACGAGTTGTCAATGAGCACAAACAATTTATGTGCGAAATGTGTGCCAGGCTACACGATGATCGAATCATGTCAACTCCATCGTGGTACACAGATATCAATGAATGGTGGCGTGGACCGGGCGTTTGCACGACCGGATCATGGCGTGACGTTGACATTTCGAAGAATTTCTCAAATAGGTACTGCTTTGAGTTCATCGAAAAATCTCAGAGATTGCATACACCATACAGCTATAGTTGGATGCGAAAATAAGTAGATATTTTTAGTCAATAGTTCGGGATATTCTGCAGTATACAGCTATCGAACGAACGCACGCACGCACGAAAAAAGCGAAGCGGCGGAGAAGAGCCCAGTGCATATGTGTTCCCCTCATTCGTCGTCATCGTCTCTGTTTGTACCGAACACACACACACAAACAAAGCAAACACTATCTGGCATATGCACCGATCACATATACATACAGCGAACGCAGTCTGCGTGTATATGCCAGGCAGTGTTTGCTTCGTTTGTGTACGTGTTCGGTACAAACAGAGACGATGAAAGCGAATGAGTGGAACAAATATGCACTGGGCTCTTCTCCGCCGCTTCGCTTTGTTCGTGCGTGCATTCGTTCGATAGCTGTATACTGCAGAATATCCCGAACTATTGACTAAAAATAGCTACTTATTTTCGCATCCAACTATAGCTGTATGGTGCATGCAATCTCTGATAAAATCTTCTCTTTCTATTTCTAATGAAATTCTTTTTTTGTATTTTTGTCTTTGCATAAACGAACACATGAGACAAACAGCTACCATCACGTCATAAAATTCAGTGGCATCATTCTCTCTTTTATATGTAACATAATCGTAACGATGTCTCGAATTTGAAAAGTTTTTTTTTTCTACTTTTTGATAAATAAATGTTGATAGTTAATATCAGTATAATTTTGATTGATTTTATGCACCTTTGTATAAAGATATTCACTGTTTGGTTGAGAATTCGAAGAAGATGGTAGATACTGCTCTGGAAATAGGAAGCACATCGAAAAGATTAGGAAAATTGGAAAATTAATTTCGAACTTGGAAGCATTGAATAAAAATTGAAAAAGATCAAACCGTCAATGCATTATTGAAATATTTCTATTTATTTAGTATTCATCTCGAACGCAAGAGCTATCACTACTCAAACTGTTGAAAGAGTAAATATATATATATAAAACACTATATACATATGTTTTTGCATTATTCGTAACAGCTACTAAAAGTATGATATTAATCTCGAACAATGATCAAAAATGGGGCATTGTTACACATCAAAATGTGTAAATATACATTTGTGCTCTACAATAGATAGTCTTTTCGCAGTTGCAAATATGCCAACCATTATAATTGATCTTTGTCTATTATTGCACTAAAATTTGTGTCTCTTGTGGAGAAGATGTCAGATATATGCGAATTGCATTGTAATACTAGAGATATAATCAAAACATACACAAATGTATTCCAGTCTTAAAATATGGTTTAGTTGATTAGATCGTTTGAAATGAAGCAATAGTCTTGAAATATAATTCGAAAACTGTACACCTTATTCACCGTATCATCAAAGCTATTTCACAAGTAAATCATTACAGTCACAATGAAATTATTAATTTGGCTGAAAGTCGCATCAAAAATGATATGCAAGGAAAATTATAAATTACCAAAGTGGATTTCATTCTTGAAAAAACACAAAACGTTGCTTCTGACATTTTGCATATTGCTACTGATAATTCAAATTTACATGGATACAGGTATGAATTGCACCAAAAAATATATTTGACCGAATCTTAATAGCAAAATTTCGTTAGTTCCTGTTCCACGGCCGCTTGAGTTTATCCCTGATCACCGTATTTTAGATGAGTTGTTTCACGAAACGGTTCCAAATTTAGCAGTAAATACGAAATTACCAAAATGTGATTACGAACAAATCATCTTTGGAAATGAGTTTGCTTACAGAGGCGCTTATTTTAGAGAGCTATTAAACTTAAATGAAATTCGCCAAGGCGGTGAGTTCATACCATCGGAATGTAGGCCAGAATTCAGCACCGCAATCATAATACCATATCGTCATCGAAAAGACCAGCTAGAAGCATTTATCGTTTATATTCATAACTTTATGCGACAACAACAGATTCATTATCGCATTTTTTTGGTTGAACAAAACGATGAGAAGCCATTCAATCGAGCAAAACTCCTGAACATTGGAGCAGTCCATGCGATTAAAGAGAAATTTCCCTGTTTGATATTTCATGATGTTGATTTGTTTCCAATGAATGTTGGCAATTTATATGTGTGCACAGCTCAGCCCCGGCACATGCCTGTTTACATCGATAAATATCATTTTAATGTGGTTTACAAAGACTATTTTGGTGGCTGTGTTGCAATGCGAACCGAAACCTTTCAGATCATCAACGGAATGTCGAATTTATTTTTCGGATGGGGAGGTGAAGATGATAATTGCTTTGATCGTGTCAAATCGAAAGGATTCAAAATATGTAGATTCGGACCCAATTATAGCAAGTACATGATGCTTCCGCATAAAAAAGAAATACCAATCGTACATCTTAAAGCGTTGATGGAAAATGCAGCAAAACAATTCCACACCGATGGACTCAATTCGTTGAATTATACGGAAAAAATTGTGATACTGCAACCATTCTACACACATATCCGGGTGGAACTTTGATCTGCCCCAACGATGTATAGAATGTGATGAAGATTTGATTTTGAATTTAAATAGATCTTGTTTTTGTTACGCTGAGAAAGTGTATTTGTTCAAATCAATTGAATCAAAAATCAGTTTTGAATCAACCGAGAAGTATTAGTTTGGCTTACAGGCAAAAGAGCGCAGCCGCTGATACAAGCTTAAACACATTTTCCCTCAATGGAGACGCCAAACAGAGGTTTTTCTTTTCGTATCCAAAAAGCGTCGCATGACTATGATTCCAACAACTGTTTTGAAATTCGAAGAAAAGTCTTGTTTTTGTTTTGAAGTTTAGCGCTTATCTTTTATGATGTTTGGTTTTCATTCTTAGCCAAAACTAAACTAACCAAAAAAATTTAAATTTAATAGAAGCTTACAAAAGAATCCCATGAATCTATTGAACACAGCTGCGATTTTCGAGGAGAGGACAACACGAACCTTTCATGTCACTTGAACAATCGCAAACAGTGCTAAATCGCTATTGTGCATACGGCTTTTCAAAGGGTTTTCTTTCCACATTTGTGAACGATAAAATCCACTTATGGTTTAACAAACACGTAAGCACAACTTGAAGTGTTCGAAACTTTATCCGCATACTCGTTGACTTCATTGGCAAACTTCCAAACTATACGCTCTCTTTGTGATAATTTTTCTTTGGCCGAGTCCTTAATACACACACACATACGTGCAAATCTATGAAAGACAAAATCCCATCATTAACTTTGTTCAAAATAGATGTTTGTATATGTGTTATCCTTTTAGTCGGTTTACGTGAAGTGATTAAATAAATGCTCTTCCTTTAATTTGTGTTGAGAAAGTGTTGTGCTGTTCTATACCCATACTATATCTCGATTTACTTTCAATGCCAACTTTTCGGAAGTGGAAATTACATTTTCTGTTTGTATTGAAACTATTGAAAGAGTCAGAGAGACAGCGATGCATAAGTATAATTGGCCATTGAAAAAAAGAAAAAAACGATAGCAAATCAATGATTACAAAGTAGGTACTTCTTGAAAATTCAAGCAGTTCACAGCATCATATGCACATCAAAGCGATGGAAATCGAACATGAGCATTTTTTACATTGAGTCGGTTGGAATCCAGTATGCAGCCTACTGTTGTTTTTATACTCCCGAATGTTGCGTTGCTATAATTTTGTTTAGCGATATTCAATAATGCGAATGTATATGTGTGACGGAAGTAAGAATTTTTGGTTTTGTGATGAAGAGATAGGCACCAAAACGCTTTGGTCTTAAAAATTTGGCAGGTCGTTCATCAAAATGTTATGCCGTGACTATTATCTGATGGCCCAAATTATTGATGATGACACTGGCTATACTTCCCTTTTTTCTTGCCGTTCGTTTTCTTTTCGCCAAAGTTCGCAGTTTTCTCTCCACCAAAAAATATGCGTCGCATGGGTCGCATGTTGCTAAAGCCTGGTATTCATGAAATGGAGTTGCGGCAGTCGGACGCTCTGAAGAAGACAAAAATCTGACAAACATAACGGAATTTCTCTCCGTCATTCCTTGGAACGTGTCGCCTTTAATTGAAATGGGCAAATTAATCACTAAGCAGTAAAGACTTTAAGTAAGTATAATATTCAATTGGAACCGGTGTAATGAAAACGTGACGCTGCGAATATGAACATGACATTCATTATGTGACACAGTTTTTACAATTTTATTTTCACGAGCTTTTTTCGTATTTGTTTTTCTTCCATCTTTTTTGATAAATTAAACCTTGACCTCACACGTGCAACATCTTTCACTTCGGTCGACGACAAATAATTTTCTACAGATTTCATTGTTGTATCAAAAAGGTGCCACTTGTTGAACTTGGCACTTTCTCCCGTTGGCATAGTGCACATGATCAATCGAAAAAGCCATATGTTTCCGTAATGTTGCAGGTCGGATATCTGTTAAAATTCCAAGAAAATGCCAACAACAATAACGCAAAATAATATTATTACTTTGTAATGGTGCTCCTCAATCAAAGATAGTAGGGAACTATGTGTGTACGTATAGCATTTTCATCTTGTGCTCTTTAATAAATGGCCGACGAGATATGAAGTGTTTCACTACTTGGGCACCCGAGCAGCCACACCGTACTACAACACGACTTGTACGGAGATTGTAACACAAGAAAACACTCTGTCGACATGTACCTGCCACTGCCACCACCATTTATTCGCTGATACAATGTGCGATACTGTTTTGAAAGGTGCTTGATTAACGAGTTGAAAATGAGTACAATTTTGACGAAGGTTCCGAAAGCATGATTAGGCAATTATTATTGAAAGAGGACCATTGTTCTGTAAATGCCTTGTTCCTTGTCAGAGGTCGGATGTACAAAAATGAATGCTTAATGCATAACCACATCTACATGCGAAATCCCAGGCAATTTTCGCAATTTCATTTTCAATCGATATCAAGAGTATTCCCATACGGCAACATCGGAGGACAATGAACTTTTAATCAAATGATCTGACAAGAAAGTTTACAATTTTAAGGCTGAATGGCACAAGATTGCGTCATCTATCGTTATTCACGATCTTTTTTTTCTTCTCGGATGTGTTAAAGCCAATTTTAAAAAGAAAAATAAATTTCTCACTCGAATCGAAACTTATCGAAATCTTTGGAAAAAGTTGTGCTGACTAAAGATGCTGTTGTGATTTCGTAGTACGCACAAAGTCTTCTCATAGTTGGCACAAAACCGTTCAAGCATGTAAAATGCTTAAAACGATTTGATTTCAACTACTCGTTTTGAAATCAATAGCATCACCGTCTGTTGCATACTTAAACTTTGATTTGGGACGTCTCGTAGCTAGAGTTTAATGTGAAAAAGCGCTTAAAAACTTGCTAAGATAAGAGGATTTCAAAAACTACACTACATGATTCCCAAGCATTTGCTCGCATCAACACGTAATAAACTCCTTCTCTCTCTTTCTATCTCTGCTGGAAAATTCCTTGAAACACTTGTGAATGCTCTGAATGAAATAACAACTATTTTAGTCTTTTCATCCGGATCTCACTTTACAAGCATGGCACTTTCTTCGCTCGCAAGCAACGGAAGCGAACTTAATTATCAATTATGCTCGAACAAGGCATTCGAATTGAATGTGGAGCACATTTTTGTGCATAAAAGCTGGAATTTAACACTCGAATGAATACAAACGCTTCTCTGTCTCTTCATCCGAATGCCTTTATGACATACGCAAAATATAAATTTTCCATTCAAATGCGATGTACCCATTAGACGATGTGATGCAAAAACTTTCTCCTTTCAATGACAACTTGACGATGTGTTTAGCATTTGCTCTTCGCATATTGAACGCATCGCATAAGAACTAATTTCCAAACAAGTTTTAACCGGATTGCTTGCTGCTCAAGTTGGATTTGCAATTTAGAAGCAATGATGAGCTTTTATATTGTCGATATGGAAGTCATAAGAAGTCGCAACAATGGTGATTATCAATTTCCTTACATTTAATTGATGCACGGTTTTGTGAGTCGTTCACATCACATGTTCATACAGTGACAAAAAAAAATTGATTCACGAAACTTTCTCCACATCGATTAACTCGAATAACAAGTTTTGCTCTAATTGGTGGCGGGTAAGACGGATCAACATCTGCCTAAGGAAAACGTTATTTGAGAACTAGAATTCACTTCAAATCCAAAATATTTGGAATGATTTATTTTCAGATTTGACGGATCAATGTTAAAATCGAAATGTAGTCGTTATTGATCATTGCGTCACACTCGCAATTATTTAAAATCTGTTTAATGGAGCATCTGACTGAGAAACTTTTTTTTAGAGTAATGTTATTATCTCGCGATTAAATGATGTAATGGTTCCATCAATTATTATATGATCACGTGACGTAACAAAAGTTTCAAGCTTAAATGAGTATGAAAGATGATAATAATTTTTCTTCGCCTCCTACATTGTATCCGACTCAAAGCCCCAGATGAAAAATTCATGGTGATTTTTTTCCCTTCAAATAATTTTCTCAACTCACTATTGCGGTTCAACGGTTTTCGCAAACTCTTTTTTCTTCTTTGCGACGGCCACAACTGATTCCATTCGTTAAACTATAATGCAACACTTGCAGCTTTATGAATTTTAAATGATTCTGTTCTGTTTCATTTGTAGCAAATTCAAGTGGAATAACGTGAATGAACCAATGCTGCCTTGCTGTGCCACTTGCTGCTCAAGATGACGAAGAACAGAACAAAAGAAGAGCACGGAAACGTTACGGAATGCACAGCATGAGAAGCCTTTGAACGACTAATTTCAATCAGAAATTGAATTCCTTCCCTTAAACCCATCATTAAAGCTTGAAAACTATTGTTTGAACGGTAATGGAAAGAAGTGAGCGAAAATGAATGGAGCAAAAAAAAACTGCCTCTCCGTGCCAAAAGGTAAAAGGGGAGGAAAAAAACTGCTTACTACATCATAATGGTAATGTTCAAGACGATGAATCGATTTTTTTCTCGCAACTGTCGGAAGTTGTGCTTTTTCTTCCGTTTCATCGCTTGATGAAAATTGCGAAGACCATTCATTCGTGTGTTCGTTGCATTCATGCAATTCACTGTGTAATTCTCAAGGATTTTCAATTTTTCTCGAATGATTTAATTTTAATCATGTAACTTCATGATGTTCAGTGTTCTCTGTTCACTCATCTTCGATAGATGTTCTTACGTTGCGAATGTACGTCAATTACGTTTGATTGTCATTCTTATGAAAGTGCACAGAAATGAATAGAAACTCTTGAATAAGCGAAGCAAATCTTAATCAGTAGTAAACCAGAACCAAAGCAACTTCATTTTTGGCTGTTTGTCTAAAGTTTGGTTTTGGAAAAGTTTGGATTTTATCCTTGATGCACTTCTGATGCACAGAACTTGATGAATACCGTTGAAGTTACGCGCCCCGTTGTCAAATACCAAAGCTAATGCGATTAGATGGCAAAAGTTAGAAAAC